CGCTGTCTGAGTCCCAGGCAGCCTCAGTGTCTCCCTACCACTTCCTCAGTGCCCCAGCCGAGACTCGCCACGCAGTTCTCCCAGGAAGGGCTAGAGCTGGGCAGCTGGAGTACTTCTGTTCTCGTAGTTAATAACCCTTCGGAGGGAAAATGCCAAGAAGTCGAAAGAAAAGGAGTTTGATTTGACTCTTGAGTGGCCAGCACCAGGGATGCGTGGCTTGTGGGGGAAAGTCCACCCCTCCAGCCTAGGAACGGGGCCGGACGCTGGCACCCCCATGTCCTGTCCACACCGCCGTGTCTCAAGGCAGCCCCGAAAACCCCGTCGGTGAAGACATGGCGACGTGGAAAGAACTGTGCCGTTGTTGTATGGTTAAACGGCAACCTACTCAAACCGGTGTGCCCAGAGCAGCCATCCCAGAGATGGCCGTATTCTATCCATCTGTATATTGAGGTTCATCTATAGATCTCGAAAGTGGGACTATCCCACAGCACCCCGGGGGTCCATCATGGCCCCACGTGGGGATCATGTCCTCGCCTCCTTTGGTCAAACCCTGGCACGGCATGTCCCTGTCTGTCTTCACATTCTCTGCTCAGAGCATGTGGTCCAGAGGGCCCTATATGTTTCTCTTTATATCTAACAGAATTATGAGCATAATCCCATGTCAATAGAAATTATTTGAAAACTCCTTCATGCCAGGGGCCGGCAGGTGGCATGGTGGTTAAGGCGTTGGACTCCCACATGGCCAACCATGGTTCAAGTTCCATACCTGGTGGCTTGCTTTCTCACTTTCCCTTTCTCTCTCTCTCTCTGGTCAAACTAATACACACACATACACACACACACACACACACACATATAAAATAAGTAAAATGAAAATGAAAAATAATTATTAGAAAAAGTCCTTCATGTCTGAACCATATGCTGTAGTTACCGATATTTAACCCCAGTTATTGAGCTTTCCGGCTTTTATTTCATCCTTCTTATTTGTGAATATTTTCTTAAAACCGACTCTAAAAAAAAGTATCACCAAATGAACTTTTGAAACAGTCCCTTTTTTTTAGTTTCTTTTCTTCCTTCATGAGCAAAAGAGAGAAAAAGGCGGAAAGACAAAAGCCAGCAGAGCCTTGAGGCCACGACCCCGCCCTCACTTCCGCCGGCCCTGGCTTGTGAGCAGCGTGTGCGCGGCGTGCTCGGGGAGGTCCCCAGGTGTGAGCCCAGGACCCTCCTGTGCGGCTCAGCCCCAGAGAGAGCATCGCACTTCACGGCCACACGGCCCCGGCAGCCACCAGACGAAGAGCTGAGCAGTGGTTGTGTAGATGAGTGGCCCTCGAAATGATAAATAGACAAACGGGCACACAGAATTTACAAGCAGGTTATTTTCTCCTTCCAGTGTTCGACTTTGGGGACTCTGTTTTCCTCTTGCTCTCCTGGAAGGACAGATGTCAAGAGAGACAGAGGTTCTGTAGTTTGTGTCCAGACTCCCTGTGGATGGCTTCCATCGCCTGGTAGCTCTAGTCTCTGTGGGAGAAAGTCCTTGGGCTTTAAGTCATCCCAAAGCTGTGGCACAGGGCAGGCTAGCCCCCTCCTCCTGGGAGCCAGGGCGCTGAGACGTTTCAGGTGGGCAGGTAAGGCCAGTGCCCAAGGCCAAGGCTCCTTAAGCAAGTGCACTAAGGAGAGGGTTCCCGGTCATGGAGGTGTGGCCAGGGCCAAGAAGCACCCTTAATTACGCCCATCCTCGGGTGTGGCACAAAATGGCAGCTCCATGACTCTTCCCTTCGTAATACCTAGGTGTTGTTCTTCTTCCTGTTCCTCGACACCTCGTACAGAAAGGAGAACAGGGGGACCAGCAGTTAGCGTAATGGCTATGTCGCTGGACTCCCATGTAGCTGACAGCGGATCCAGTCCCGGACCCGGTGGCTTAAACTCAATGCCGGGCATGTGTGCATGCGGCCCAAGATCCCGAGAGGAGAAAGGAGAAGAGATTGTGGAGTGGCCATCGCCCCAGAGGGTGATTTCTCGCTTTCTGTCTCTCTGTCTCTCTCTGTCTTTCTGGTGAGTGCACGCATCCTATAGCAAAAACCTCTCCAAAAGAAAAAAAAAAAAAAGAAAGAAAGAAAGAAAGAAAGAAAGAAAGAAAGAAAGAAAGAAAGAAAGAAAAGAGAACAGAAAATGAAAGAATCAGAAATAAAATTAGGCGACTTCGGGGCAGGGTGATCCTGCCAAGCCCCAGTTCTTACACAGCGTGGAAATCTGATTACCTTAAACTGCATCTGGACAGAGCGGTAGCTCCAGACTGAAACCCGTTTTCTTTTTGCAGAATTGAAGCCAAAGAATTTCATGATAAAAGATGTTAGTTCTCCACAAGGCTGGTGTATTACTTTAAGTGGCTAATTAAGGGAAGGAATGAGCGAGACAGGGAAGGAAGTGTAAACTTGGCCAACACTGGATTTTCTCACACCTCTGTTAAGGCTGAGTTCTCTTACTAGGAAAATCCAAACGCCGTCCTTCTTGTTGGTGTTTCTTAAGATTTTGACTTCTGCCATACCTTTATGTATTGTGTTATTCATTTAAACATTGCACTTAAATACAGTTACTTTCATTGCAATAGCAATCGCTCACGTGTACTATCTCCTGGGCCCTCCCCAAACACTGCGTGTGCTTTGAAGTAATTCATCCTCATGACCGCCTCACTGGGTACACGCCCCTATTATCACCATCTCAGAGACGGTCACGAGGGGTCTCCGAAGTGACGTAAGTAACAAATCCTGTTGTGGTAACAGGAGGTGACAGGAGGAAAGACAGGAAAAATAGAAACTGTGGACAGATGAGAAGATGGCAGAAGCCGTCTGCAATGTCTGAAGCGTTAAGAAAGTAGAACTCATCGTGTACAAGTAGCTGCTGCTGATCAACAAGACACGGAGGCAAACCCCACAAAAAGAACCTCAAAACATTATGCTAGATGCGAGCCGGACCTAAGAAACCACACATTTTGGACTCCACTTTTGTGAAATGCCCAGGAAAGGCAGATTTATAGAGACAGAGGAGATGAGTGGCCACCAGGATGGACATAGGGGATACTTGTAAATGGACACGAGGAAGCTTTCGGAGAGATGAAACTGCTGTGATAGCAGACAGATGCAGAGGTGTGTGTGCGTGCCTGTGTATGCACGTCTGGTTCTGCACACACAGGCCTTTTTCCTAGCTCTGCCCCCAGAGAAGTCCAGAACCAGTAGCATTGCACGAGTCTTGAGCACCCCAGCACCCGAATCTTGGCTTCTGAGTCATAGCTCAGCCCTAGGGACGCAGAGAGCACACAACGGTGCTGAGTCCTGCCCGCAACGCACCACCCGAATCTAGTCATCAGGGGACACCGGCGAGTCCGAGGAACCCTTATTCATGAGCGTGGAGGTCACGAAAGACACAAGAAACCTTGGCAGAGACTAGCAGGGCAGACCACTTCGGGACACGTGAGTCCGGATCCTGGCACTATCAAGAACATTATTTGCAGCGTAAGCAAAAGTGGAAAGAGCCGTAGATGACACGATGACATTAGGTGAGCTCGTTTCCTGTTTGGGTTATATGCAAGACCGTCCCTGCTGGTAAAAACACTCTCAAGTACTAAAGGGAACGAGGCGTCGATGTTTGCAACTGGCTCTCAAATAATCCTAGAGAACAAACACTTTTACATCAATTATCCACCTACCTACCTACCCGCCTATCCAGAGAGAGAGAATGATGAGTTTAGCATGTGGGCAGATTTTAGCATGTGGTCATGCTAAACGTGGAAGAGCCCTGCTGAGGGACGGGGGGCTTGTTCGTGCTATTCTGGCAACTTCTCTGTGAGGGGAAATGGAGGAGACAAGAAAAGAGCAGTAATGATGAGGTCTGGGTGAGAACCCCGTTAGCGCAGGACCAGGTGAGGGAAGAGAGGGTGTCAGGAGGCAGGGAGCGCTGGGCGGCAGGAAGGCTGCTGGAGGAGGACTGCTGCCTTGCACTTGCTGAATTCGATTTCATCCTCAGAACAGCCCGTGCGGTGGGTAAGGAGGCTGGAGGCTCAGAGAGGCAGCCCTTCACCCAGCACTTACTCCGTGCCTGTGTCCGACACAGCGAGGTTGCACAAAATAATACCGGGTGCAGGTGGGCGCGTCTGGGAAGCAGCGCTGGAAGGAAGTGCCCGGAAACGCCACGTGCTAGGGCAGCTAGGCCGGGTTAGTGGGGTCACAGCGGCTTTCGTTGTCCTGTGTCCTTCAGCTGTCCATAGTTCTCTGCAGTGAACCCAGGAGCCTTTGTAATGAGGAAGAAGTCAGCACTACTATAAAAATGGAACTGGGGGATGTCAAACCACCTTCTTCATGCTATCGTTGAGATCAAATACTGTTGTTTGAATGCAGTTTTGCTTACCAACGTAGTGAATTAATGCTCCCTAACTCGGTGAAGCCCCCTTTGCACGCCGCGGAGAGGGCTGGAGCGCTGGGGGTGGAGAACCGATATCCACCTGACTCCCCAAGCCCGTCTGTCCACATTTCCCATGTGAAGGCGGAAGCCCAGGGAAGGGTGACCTTGTCTCCTACAGAGAAAAGTTTCCAACCTGTCATGAGGCAGGGACAGAAGAACACCCCTGAAGGGGAAGGGTGGCATGGTGAGAACACAGCTCTAGTGTCCAAAAGAGGACAGGGGTCGGCCAGAGGGTGCCACTGTGTCACCCCGCGGGGTACTTACCGTCATAGGATGGCTCCCAGTGGGTCAAGTCCCTCCTGCTATCAAGTGCAGCCGTGGCTCTGAGCTCCGCGGCAGCTCCTGGCCTGGGCTCTGCTGGCCTCCCTGTGCCCGTCTGCCTCTCCGAGCTGAGCCCTCTGCAAGAACGGACACGCCCATGCCTCGGCTTCTCCCGGGGCTCAAAGAGCTCCCTTTGAGTAGAGCAGAGCGCAGGTCACTGTCGTTAGTGCAAGCCAGAATGCGAAACGGGCGGAGGAAATTAGAGTGAGCCCGGTAGACAGCAGTACAGGCCCCAAACACAGTGCTCTTGTTTATTGACCCGGGAAAGCGATCACAGCACACAAACACAAACAGGATCACAAACACAGCAGAGCGCTGGGTACCGTCGAGTCGGGCATTACGATCGTTGTAAACAAGCGCAGGGAGAAAACTCAATGAAACGAAAAGAAAATCTGTCCAAAAATGCACGGAGGTTGTCTTGGGGTAGTGAGATTGTGGATGGTTTTGATGTTTGGAGTTTTTCTCCTTTGTGTTTTAAGCTATCTAGAAACAATTTTTGTTATTAGGAAATGACTTTAAAGAACTATATGTCTGAAGGAAAAGGGACAGACAGATAAACAGGGGCCCGTGGTTCCAGATGGAGTGTTAAGGGCATTTTGGGTAAACAAGCTACTTTGAGCGCAGGCCACCTCCTGCATCGGGGTAGAACCCCACCTCAGCCTCCTGCCAAGGGCAACCATCTTCCTGGGGGACGCTGTCCTGCCACCAGCTTGCATGGCAGGTCATTTTTCCGCTGATAGGTGTAGGGTGGCCGTCAGAACTCTGATCACTAAACCGGGAAGCTTAGATGGAGAACCAAAGGAGGAAAAGCAACCCTTTCCCCTGTTGGTGGTTGTGCAATAACACCATCAGAATTTACCCACGCGTCACCCAGCTTACAGGAAGACACGGAACGAAAGGAACACGGCGGGCAGGAGTGCCCTCCTCCAGGGAACTCTGACGAGCACAGCACCGTTCCTAAGGTCTGTGTTGAGCCTGATGCCTGAGTCAGTTGATTTTTGCAAATCTCAAAATGTTATGGCTTTCTTAGCCCCGTGGTCCACAACAGTGCCCAGTCCTGTTTCCCACTAGCCCCAGGGTTTTCCGTTCTGAGTTCGATTCTCCAGGGTTTCTAAGAGCCCGAGCCCTGAGCGGGGAGGCGCGGGGGCAACTGTGGGTTACCAGTTGGCTCTGGGGCTCCGGGTAGAGTCACTAGTGGGAATCACTATTTCCAAGTCCATCGGTGGTGGAGGCGGGGGCGGGTGGGCGCTGCGGGGCTTGGTGCGTACACAGATGCTAATGTTCACAGGCCGAAAGTCCTGTTTGGGCCCAAGCCCTTCCCTGGCACCGCTGCCCCAGTGTCTGGAACACCCCGTGTCATGCGTTCATCTTTCTCCCAGCAGGGCATACTCGAGCCCCAGAGCTGGCCTAGCATGGCTGCCACTAGGCTCCCTCCCACCCCACGTGGCTGTGAGCGCACGCTGTGCTGGGGGCAGAATCAGGTGGGGGCGCCCGGCTGCCTCCTCTGCGTGTCCTGGTGCACCTGGCAGGTCACCGCCCCTGAGTCCTGGGTTGGTCTCCAGCGTTCTGAGTCAGAACCCAGCAGAGAGTTCGTGCTCGCCCGTGGAGGGGGACATGGAGCTGCTCCTGTCCAGCCTGGTCGTGGACAGGAAGGGGAGCCGCTTGGCCAGGCCCTTGGCCACATGCCTGTGGAACAGCAGGCGCAGGTACTTCCGGAACTGCTCGCCGACGAAGACATAGATCACCGGGTTGACGCAGCAGTGCGTGTAGGCGATCACCTCGGTCACCTGGATGGCCAGGTCCAGCTGTCGGCTCTGTTTGCACAGATCGGTGAACAGGAACTCCTGGAACACAGCCACGAGCAGAGTCAGGTTGTAGGGCGTCCAAAAGAGAAAGAAGATGATCATGATGGCAAAGATCAGACGCACGGCCTTGGCCTTCTTCTCGTTGGGCCGCTTGAGCAGAATGTTTATGATCCCCGTGTAGCAGACGATCATGACCAGCAAGGGCAGCACCAGCCCCAGCAGGTTCAGTTTCAGGGCCTGAAACTGTCTCCACTTGGTCAGGTTTTCGTGCGGGAAATGCAGGCTGCAGGTGTAATGGCTGAATTCCCACTGTGACACAGAGAAGTACCAGCCCGGGATGGAAGCCAGGATGGCCACGGCCCAGGTGACGGCGCTGGTGACAATGCCGAAGGTGACGGTCCGGGCCCGCAGGGCGGACACGGCATGCACGATGGCCAGGTACCTGTCGACCGTCAGCAGGATGATGAAGAAGATCTCACTGTATAGGCCGATGTAGTAGAGCCCCGAGAGCAGCTTGCACATGGCGTCCCCGAACACCCAGTCATTCTTCAGCTTGTAGCTGATCCAGAAGGGCAGCGTGAAGAGGAAGAGCAGGTCGGAGACGGCCAGGTTGAGGAGGTAGATGTTGGTCATGCTCTTGAGCCTCTTGAACTGCAGGAGCACCAGGACCACCAGGGCGTTGCCCACCAGGCCCACGACAAACACTAGGGAGTACAGAGGGGGCAGCAGCTGGGCCCCGAAGTTCCTCACGTCCACCTTCGTGCACGGGGTCGTGTCCTCATAGTCGTAGTCTGTGGTCATGCCGTAGTCCTCGGTGGGGACCGAAACCTCCATGTCGGCGTCTCCTGTGGGTCAGAGAGAATGGTTTCTGTATGTCCTTGGCCGTCAACAGCCCTGGGCTCTAGCTAGCAAAGACCAGCCGTGGTACATGTCTGCAACCACTTGACCAGTGTTTGCTGAGGGCCTACTGTGTGCCGTGCTCTGGGAGTGACGTAAGGAAGGGAGGCCCAAGCCCTGGGACTGCAGCCTGACGGGGTGCAGGCCATTAACACATGACTGACAGGCACAGGCAGTCCCTCGCCATGAGTGCCCTCAGGATGAGTCCGCGGGGTGCAGAGCACAGGCCAAAGGAGCCCTCACTGCAGTCCGCAGCCCGCACTGTCTGAGCGCGGCCCAAGGGCTGGGCTTGGACTTGGCAGCGACGGCCCTTCGGGGGCAGCCATCGACACCGAGGTCGGAGTGGTTAGGAAACGTGCCCACGGGCACACGTCCTGTGAGAACGAGAGCGAGGGCAAACCCAGGTGGTACGCCCTTGTGCCCAGGCCACAGAACACTCAGCTTTCCTGCCTCCCATCATAGGGACTGCACCCTGCACTGTGGAGCCCACGGAGGACCCTGGGAAGGAGACCGTCCTGGTGAAGGGTCAGAAACTTACAGATCTTCTGCTCTAAAAAGGCTCTCAGTGGGGAGAAGCGCTTGAAAAAAAAAGTTTGGGGGGTTGTCACAAAGACTGGGGCTTGTAATGTCATTCAGTAGGCAGGGCCAAGGATGTCTCCCAATGCTAACATTATTGTGCCCCAAACCGCAGTGGTGCAGCCATGTCGCCTCGAGCAGGTCCACCCCAGCCGCTGTGGCTGAGACTCTGAGGGAAGCCCCACAATGGCCCAGGCCACCCCACGTCGGTTAACTCCGTAGACCTTCTGTGAGAGCCATGGGGAGGATTCAGAGGCCAGCATGGGCCGGGAGAAGGGGGTAACCGAGTAAGGGCAAAGTGGAGTCGGGAGGAGGGCTCAGAACAGCCTCAGCCGTGAGGCGTTGTCACATGGTGCCGGATTCTGCAGAAATAAGCTCTTAGCTATTTTTACCCTGCCTGCCTTGAAACAAACACAGAACAAGAACAGACTCCCAGATGCCCTGCTGGTCGGGTCTTCCCCCGGCCCCTGCTTTTCGGCTCTCTTTTGCATCCTTTCCAATCACTTATTGAGGATACCTCTCCAAAGGGAGTGGGTGCTCCAGTGTAACTACCAGCTGTGTGACTTGAACTGTGTGCATCTACCTCTCTGAGCCTCAGCCCCTCCGGTGTAATGTGGAACGTGGAAAAGGAACTCTTACCCCGCAGGGCTACTGGAAGGCCCCTGGCCTCCGGCACTTGCCAAGTCCCCAGGAAACAGCAGGGCACCTCCCTCCCTGCAGTCACCCTCCTCTGAGGCCTGTCCTCAGCCCAATCCTATTCTGCCTCTTGCATCCTGCCCCCCCTAACCTCCCCTGCCAGGTCTCCTAGTAGTTAAAATGCAAAGTGATTTTTCTTGACAATGATGAACAGTGACGGTCCCGTCCAGTGAGTGACCCTTTGAAATTTTCCGTCTGATTCGATCTATCTCAATCCCGATCAGTATCATAGGTGCCACCAACTTTGTAATCCCTGTCTGCAACTTGGGCCTCTAGCGTTTCCTTCTACCCTCCTTGAAGATGTTCCCTGCTTACAATTTTCCCATGCGTGCAGTGGCCATTGGAAATTCAGCCCTCCAGCAGGAAGGGGAGATTGTTCTGCTGGGGTGGGAGGCGGGGTCCTCTCAGGTCCCTCCAAGGACCTTCCTGCAGCTCCCTCTGCCAGCCCTAGACCTGCCTCCACCCGATCAGCCTCTTAGCACGGAGACCCAGCCTGCCGGCCCTGCCGAAGCTGTGCTGGCAGTTTCCAAGTTCTGCTGCACTCGTGCTGACACGGAGACGGTGCAGGCTGACGTCGGCACTTTCGGGGCGGCAGGCTGACAGCACACGACACACAGCTGCTCCGAGGCTGACCCCATGAGACTCGTTTCGGGGGACATTTTTTTTTTTTTAAGAGAGATTTTTGCTATAGGGTGCGTGCACTCACTGGAGAGACAGAGACAGAGAGGACTTTGGGCAAAGGCAAGCTGAATCAGCGTATTCAGGTGCCATTGTGCCTACTGCTCCCCCCCACCCAAACTCCATTTGCTGTTTCTCCAACTCGTCAGGCACCATGCAACTGCAGGGCATGCTGGTCCTAAAGGGAATGAACGGGACGTGGGTGTTGGAGGGGAAACCACAGGACAGTATTCCCATCCAGGCTGCCAGCTGCGGAAGTCTGCCCCCAGGTCACTGCGTGGCAGGTAGAGCTAGCCCTGGAGCCTGGGCCCTCCCAGGGCTGGTGTCCTCCAGCCTCGGCGCCGGGTGAGTCTGAGCAGAGAGGGCAGCCTGCCATGGTAAAGTCAGCCACCCCCGGTGTGCACTGTTCATAAGAGCTAATCGTATGCATTTCTTCCCAGTCCACATTCCGCACAGTGGCAGTTGAATTTGACCATCGCAGGAGTGTTTACACCATGGAAATCAACAACAGTACGATCAGCGCTTTTCTCAGCGCTCTGTCCCCGTAGTCTGAATAGCTCAGGGCTGCCCTGCCACTCCTTGTGGGAACAGAGGATCAGTGAGTGGCAGCCTGGTGGCAGGCCATGCGAACTTCTGGGAGTTTCCAACTGTGAAAAATCTTTGACTCTCTAAGACCCCCTATGGAGAAATAGTTGAATTGATGCCTGCAAGTAACTACTGACCCTCTGTCTTAGAACAAAATTCTTCTAAGAGAGATTTTTGCTATAGGGTGCGTGCACTCACTGGAGAGACAGAGACAGAGAGGACTTTGGGCAAAGGCAAGCTGAATCAGCGTATTCAGGTGCCATTGTGCCTACTGCTCCCCCCCACCCAAACTCCATTTGCTGTTTCTCCAACTCGTCAGGCACCATGCAACTGCAGGGCATGCTGGTCCTAAAGGGAATGAACGGGACGTGGGTGTTGGAGGGGAAACCACAGGACAGTATTCCCATCCAGGCTGCCAGCTGCGGAAGTCTGCCCCCAGGTCACTGCGTGGCAGGTAGAGCTAGCCCTGGAGCCTGGGCCCTCCCAGGGCTGGTGTCCTCCAGCCTCGGCGCCGGGTGAGTCTGAGCAGAGAGGGCAGCCTGCCATGGTAAAGTCAGCCACCCCCGGTGTGCACTGTTCATAAGAGCTAATCGTATGCATTTCTTCCCAGTCCACATTCCGCACAGTGGCAGTTGAATTTGACCATCGCAGGAGTGTTTACACCATGGAAATCAACAACAGTACGATCAGCGCTTTTCTCAGCGCTCTGTCCCCGTAGTCTGAATAGCTCAGGGCTGCCCTGCCACTCCTTGTGGGAACAGAGGATCAGTGAGTGGCAGCCTGGTGGCAGGCCATGCGAACTTCTGGGAGTTTCCAACTGTGAAAAATCTTTGACTCTCTAAGACCCCCTATGGAGAAATAGTTGAATTGATGCCTGCAAGTAACTACTGACCCTCTGTCTTAGAACAAAATTCTTCCCTGAGGAGAACAGAATGGATCCTCCCAAGAGGTCACCTAGCCAGCTTCAGGCGGTGAAACCCCACTCTCCGCTTTGAGCATAAATGGGTCCTGACATTCTAACCTTCCTGAGAAACTGGTTTGGTATCAAATCACCACTGCATGTGTGAAGTTTTCTTTTTCTTTTCTTAATTATTATTTCCCTCCTGCTACTTCTTCATGTACCATGTTTTTCTTCTACATGCAGAAATTTGGCAAGTAATTTCTTCTTGAAGAGTTTTCCACAGAAAGCATTTCCTGTCCCTTAAGGACTGCTTTTCTTAATCCGTCAGCACCAACCATTCAAGAACACTTCCTTTTTAGCAAAAATCTGTTTTGTATCTGACCACCCGGCCTTGCGCACCCCCTCTTCATTGGTGCTGACATACAGGTGACCACCTCACAGATCTCAGTGGGCTTACCCCACTCTCAGAGAATCCCCCCAACCCGGCTTCTTCATGCCTCCAAACAAGACCGCCCACAGCAGTAGCTAAGAAGAGAAAAGGGCCACTTACTCTGGTTCCGAGAGCTTCTGTCCGGTGTCTTTCTGGGTGTTTGTGAATGCAGGTTCAAGGCCCTGACCGAGTAGGAAGCGCTCAGCTTCCTGTGAGCCGATGGAGATAAAACTCTGGTTTCACGGTCTTTCAGAATGACAAGGGGGCAAGGTTCTCTTCGTATGGCTGGGTGCCCACGAGTGCTCACGACGTTCACCAGTGGCCGGGCTCAGGTCACGTTGGCTGGGAGGGCTTCCTCTGCTCAGCGTGCTGCCCTCTGGGTCTTCTCCCTTCGGGCTCTGCCCTAAAGGGGCTGGGGAGTGGGGCTGGGTGACAGCGGCAGCGAGGCGGTCCCTGAACCTGTGGAGCAATGGGGCTGGACGTGGATGTGGTGCCGGGGCAGGGCAGAGTGCTTGTGGTCAGCGGGTAGAGTTTTTTTTAAAGAGTACCTATGGAGGGATTTAAGCCCTGAGTCCTGTTCCTCAAAACTCTGGCTGACACACTGGGAGAGGCAGCAGCTTCTCTTTGGCGCCCCCTACCCCTCCGCCGCTGACCGCACGCCCACAGGCCCTGCCCACCACCCCACAGGGTGCTTTTACCAAGAGGAACCTCCGCCTGCAGGGGTACCGGGCTCTTGCGTGGGTCACGGCTTCCCGTTCTGATCCCTCCCTGCTGTTTTACGCAGCAGTCAGACACAGGCCACGTTCAAATCCCAGCCGCCCACTCGCGATGGAGGCAGGACGCCGTGTCCGCACGTCTCTGCACTCGCAAAGGGGCCTGGGGTCAGCTGGTACTGAAGGCCATTGTTGGCCCTGGCTCGGTGGAAAACACCTGATAGCAATACTGACCTGACTCCCGGCACTACCAACATGGCACGCCAAGGCCCAGCCAGCCAGCACTGCTACGTGGGCCCTCCCAGCCTTCCCCGCAGAGGTGCTGCATGCAAAACACCATTTCAGAAATCGTACCCGCGAAAGTGCTTTGACACACGTCCCGGTCACTGTCATCTGAACGCCCAGCCTTATCTTCATCGCTGTGTCCCCATCTGTAAAGTGCAGACTTCAGACGGGTGGCCTCTGCCCGGTGGTGGGCCATGGCTCAGCTCCGCCCTTGGAGAAGCAGTGGAGGGCGTGCACGTGCCTGGCTACCGCTGGTACTCTGCCAGAAGAGGAACCCCTGGAAAGAACAGAGGCTCGCAAGGCCCGCCTGTTCCTTGGCCATGTCTAAAGTTAGACACAGGGCCAGGACCTCTAATCCATCCCTGCTTTCAGTTCCCAGGGCGCCCACGCCTGGACATGCCGGGCGCATACACGTGTTCATTTAGCAGGGACTTCATTGAATGCCCACCGTGAGCCAGGCACTGTGTGAGGTGCTGGGGCCACAGGGGACAGAGACAGAGGAGACGCTGTTCTTTGAGAGCTCACAGCTTACTAAGGAGTGAAGACAATTAAGCAAGCAGCCTGGGAGTAAGTACCCTGGCCTAGGAAAGGTTTGCCTGGGGCTCAAGAGGGTGAGGGAGCCCCCAGAGCAGGATTCTCAAGGTGAACTAGGAGCTTGCTGGTGAGCAGGTTCTCTAACCCAGACCTGCTGACCAGAAGTTCTGAGGAGGCCCAGCTCCGTCTTTAACACGGCTTCCACACGATCCTCATGCACGCTTCAGTCTGGGAGCCATTGGTCTAGCTGTTCTCTGGGCCCATGGCCCAAAGTCTCGTGTGAGCCTCTGCCAGGAGGGCCGGGCTGGGCCAGAAGGGGCTGGAAGACTTCTGATGCTGTCTGCTGTGAGGCCTAAGGACAGCCTGCTCAGTCGCCAGCAGTCTCCCCCCTGAGCCCATGCCCAAGTCTCATCAGGTCTCTCAAGGGTGGAAGGCAAGCCCCTCAGCTTCATGGGTGCACACCTCTGTGCACAGGTGCACACGCACACACACCCTCAGCTTTATGGGTGTACACCTCTGTGCACGGGTGCACACACACACGCACTCTCAGCTTCACAGGTGCACACCTCTGTGCATGGGTGCACACACACACGCACCCTCAGCTTCATGGGTGCACACACACACGCACCCTCAGCTTCACGGGTGCACACCTCTGTGCACGGGTGCACACGCACACGCACCCTCAGCCTTCCCACACCTGTGTGCATGATGGAGGGGGCCACAGAGAGAGGAGGGAGACCAGGCAAGAGGGGCCACCTGCCCCTCCACTTGCTCCATGGTGCCTCAGCCCCTGGAGGGTTTTCTCAAGGCTGCCATTTTGTCCTCAAGTCAACATTCCTCCTCCTTGGAGAGAAGGGGAAGGTGCGGAGAGCTTTGATCACCATCCAGCGGGAGCTGCAATGGGACCCAACGCCAGGCTGTTTGCTGTCCTGGGACAGCCTTCGACCCCAGCCCTGGTGCCAACCCTGAGGGAAGAAGCCCAAGGGGTCCTGTCAAGGACAGGCACACAGAGCCACTGAGCCTGCCCTCCTTCAGGACCGCCTCGCCCTCCCTCAGCTGCTGGACCTTGTCTTCCACCGTGCACTCTCCAAATCCATGAGGTAGGACTGGGGGCAGGGTTACGTGGGAGAGTTCCTGTGAACCGACCTCCAGGATCACCTCTACAGGCCCAGGCCGAGAGGAGGCAGTTCCCAGAGAGGGAGAAGGTAGGCGAGCACTCTGCTGCTTCTGACTGGCTGTGCCGCTCACCTAGCAGCTCCGAAAGTGACCAGGCCCGCCCAGACGTTCTGATTTCCTGGGTCTGGAGGGTACCTGGGGTTATTTATTTACTGCCAGGGGTGCATGTGCTAGCCAGAGTGAGGGAGAGCAAGCATCCCCCAGTGGCCCTTGGCCAGCACAGCCCTTTCTCCTTCTCTGCAGCACTGCAGGGGTTGGGGACAGACACATGTAGTGGTCTCTCCAGCAAGCCCCTCGGGCTGGGATCAGCCGCACAGGCCACCAGGTGGAATCCAGCTCCCTTAGCCACTAGGCCATGGGGCCAAGCCTGGGATTTTAATATGTAAACAGTTTTGAGTAGCTAGAACCACTGGCCCAGGGCACCGACTCCCGGCCTGGAACGTGCTTCACAATCTGGAGCCTTTGTGAGCACAGAGTGCTGGACCTCCCCACCCAAGATTCACACCAGTCGGTCTTGGGTGGGCCTGAGAATTTGCATTTCTAATCAGTTTCGAAAACACTGGTCTACAGGAATTCTCGGAGATATCATTTCGTTTCCTCTAAGTGCACAAAATGCAAAGTGAAAAGTTAAGTCCTACCCAGGCCCCTGCTGTCCCCATTTCCCTCCCCAGAAGGAACAAGAGGAACCAAATTCTCCTGCCACTTTAACGTATACGACCGACATGCACGCACACGTGTGCACACACGATGTCCTCACACAGGTAGGCGTGTATGCTACACATCGTCTTCCGTGTAGCTATGTCACTGAACGGCATCCCCAGGAGGGCCACTTGGGCAGTGACTGCAGTCCTGGAAGTGGTGGGGACAGAGACGTGTCAGTAAGGTACACACCCGAAGACGCTGGCCTGGAGTGGGCCCCACCCTGATGCCTTCATGTGACACGCCCCCACGCTGGCCCCAGACCTGGCCTCCGACCCCAGCTCTCTCGTCACACGTCCTTGTCTTTTGTGTCTCTGTTTCTGCTTCTCCTTTCCTGACTCGGACTCAACATCCCGGCAACTGTGTGTCCTGACTTAACCAAGACAGGACAGGGCCGAAGCCCCTCGACTGCATGGAGCTGGCTGTCATGGTGGCCAGCTGTTCAGATTCAGACCCGACGTGAGCAGGTCAGTTCCCCACAGAGGGATGGCTGTGCCACGCCCATGCCACTCGCTGTTGCAGAGAGCTGGGGTGCACTGTTTGGCTGCAGGACGAAAGAGGGCGCTTCTGATCCTGTGCCATTTCCAGGACACCAAAGGCAGTCTGGGGACAGGTCAGATGGACAAGAAGGACTTTGGGAGGCTCAGGGGGCTCAGAGGCGGTTGCCTCCTCAGTCCCTCTGCACCCCTCCCTTCCCCCTCACCCTCCTACCCCAGTCCTCCTGCCTCGTCTGATTAAATCCCCTTCCCCAGTTCCCTTTCCACCGCCCCTCCTCACTTCATACTTCTTCTATCCAGGCTGGTCATTTTCCCTCCATCTCTGCCCTCCTTCCTGCCTGGCCTCTGGCCACTCCAGGCTCTCACCTCCGCCCCCTCTCCCCAGCCTGCAATCCCCAGGCTGCACACCCCAGCCTGCCTCACCCAGGGAAAAGCTCAGCAGTCTCTTGCCCCTCTCCCTGCTCTGCTCTCTGCCCTCAGCTGTCCTGTCATGCGGGGTCCTGTCCCCAGTGAATGAGTGCTGGGCACATCCATGCCAGACCAGACCGCTCTCCGTGGGTCATCCAAGAGGTCCCCGCCCCGAAGCCACTCCCTCCCCCTGCGGCAGAAAGCCACAGTAAGAGGCAGGTGCTGCAGCTTTGAGGTGACTGCCTCTTTTGACGTGGCGGACGCCCCCCTGTGGGGACCTGGTTGTAAAGGTTGGATGCTTTTGACAATAAATAAAGAGGCAACTGACTTAAAATCGGCCAAAAAGGAAAGGGGAAAGAGACCACTGTCTTCCTGCAGACGTAGAGGCGTGTCGGCTCTGGTTTGGCTTTACTCACTGACATTCTCTCGCTATTTTTGATATCACCATCCGCCGACATCTTAGTCTCATTTTTTGTTTAAGAATTATTATTCGCTCTACTTCCCACTCTACAAGATGGCAGGTGAAAAGCTGCGAAGCAGGATGCTAGGAGGAGAAACCTGAAGCCGAGAAGGCTGATGCCAGTGGCAAGGTTAAGAAGGGTGACCCCAAGGCTAAAGAGTCCAAGAAGGGGAAGCCCCATTGCAGCCGAAACCCGTCCTAGTCCGGGGCATCGGCAGATACTCCCGGTCTGCCATGTATTCCAGGAAGGCCATGTACAAGGGGAGATACCCGGCCACTAAATCCAGGATCGAAAAGAAAAAGGAGGGGAAGGTTCTTGCCACTGTCACAAAACCAGTTGGAAGGGACATAAATGGTGGTACCCGGTGATTAAACTGCACAAAATGCCTGGGTATTATCCCGCTGAAGATGTGCCTCGAAAGCTGTTGAGCCACGACAAAATCCCTTCAGTCAGCCTGAGAAAGCTGGGAGCCAGCGCCACTCCTGGACCATTCTGATCCTCCTCACTGGACACCACAGAGGCAGGAGAGTGGATTTCCCGAAGCAGCTGAGCAGTGGCTTGCTACTTGTGACTGGACCGCTGGTTCTCCATCGAGTTCCACTGTGTAGACACACCAGAAATTTGTCATCACCACCTCCATGAAATTGACATTAGCAAGGTAAAAATCCCAAAGCACCTTACCGATGCTTCCTTCAAGAAAAAGAAGCTGGGGAGCCCAGACACCAGGAAGGTGAGATCCTCGACACAGAGGAGAAATAGGAGATTGCGGAGCGGCGCACATTGATCAGAAAAGTGTGGACTCACAAATTTTACCAAAAGTCAAGGCTG